CCTCTCTCTCTCTGTGCGCTGAGTATGTTCTTCCTCTCTCTACTTCAGGCTCACTGTAATCACACGCACGCACAGACACTCTCTGCTCTAGGCCTATTCATCAAACTTGCAGGAAATGCAGCAAAAAGTTCAACTTTCAAATTCTAATGTGCAAAGTAACAACAACAACATACCCAGTATTATCCCATCGTGGGGATTGGGGAGGGTATTGCGTACGAGACCTTACCCCTACCTTGTGAGGATAGAGAAGCTGTTTCCAATAGACCCCGGCTCAGAATGTGCAAAGTAACCAATTACAAATAACCTCGTCTCAAAAATGCCACCAAAGTCTGTTAAGCATGTCGACCCTTGCATGTTGCTAACTTCCCATTTATAATATATAGTAGTAGTAGTAGTAATAATATATATAGCTTAACGGAGTGAAGACACTGTCGTCGTTTGGACGTATCACGTATGCATGGAATATGGTAGAAAAAGCATATATTAGTTGATAGCCAAGATCACTGATTGACTACATTCTAGCTGAATTAAAATAGTATTTCCTTCGTCTCATTTTGATGCGGAGTTATTTGACTAAATATGAAATCTAAGAATTAAATAGGACTTTTAACTTGTAAGCTAAATATATACAAAAGTACCAAAATTATCTTTTTAGAGGATGAATTGTGGTGAGAGTTCCATCTTCTCTTTCCATTAGAAAAAAAAGAACTTTAATATTAAGTGTATAATAACAAGTTATATAACTGTGGGTAAAATGGGATGCTAAGATCAAATAGTCAAAAATAGAAGTGTATTATTCTTAGTGAAACATACTACAATAAGGGAATATGTTACGCTCCATGTTTTCGTACGTGAAAGTACGCCATAAGTAAATTGATGAAAGCTCGGAAATGAGATGTTGCACCTTGCATTTTCGTACGTTAAAGTTTCGTCGTAAGTTAATCGACGTAGACTCGGGAATGAGATTATTTTTGAGGTTATAAGCATTTATGCTATTTCAAATAAGGGATAAGTAAATTCGTGAAGGCGAGAGGGTAAACATATCAAAGAAAATGAGTTCCGTTGAAGGTTGTCATTTTGAGATAAAATATGGTCCAAGCTATAATACCCCGTATTTATGAACTAGTGTCATACAAGGTACCACATGACCATGATAGTAAGGTGTATGAAGTGTGTTAAAAGTGATTAGTATTTTAAGTAATTTGCGATAATTCTTGCTTATGTGGGTAATTGGTTAATTATTGATTTAATGAGAGATTAACCATGTAATTAAGAAATTGATGGATAATTAATTAAGGTCTTTGGATAAGACTAAGGAACCCCAACGTGGCAGCCCAAAGGGGTCTTGATCAAGGCCCATGTAATGACTAAGGTTCATTACAATAGGTGGCCTAATTAGGGGCCTTTAGGCAAAGATTAGTCATCCTAAGTGGGGCCCACACTTAAAAGTTAAAGATAACCTTTCTAATTCACAAAATGAAAGGCTCACATCTACTATGTTAAAAAAGAAAGCTTCACCAAAGATGATAATTTGCAACAACAACGTAAATGAAAAAGTGGGATATATTAGTTCATTTTGGGGAAAAGTTGAACAATGTCTCTATTACTAAGTTACTGTAGCATTGTTTGCTAAAGGAGCAGCAACGTAATGTAACATTGGCTAGATGAACAACATGTCATTAAGGGCAGAAACGTTTTGCTATTTAAGGCAAGAAAAGATTAAGCTTTCTCTACTTGATTCTCCCGTCGATTTTACGATTCTAATATCAATTCCCTATGGTTGTTAGCGGATCAAAGTTATTTCGTAGTGATGTAAAGTAGAAGGAAGTTTAAAAGAGGGAAACAAAAGTACACTCCATCGTCAACGACCTTCTACAAGCTTGCCGCTAATCCATTGTTGTTGCGTTATTGTCGTCTCTCGTATATTAACGTGTGTTGGAAGGGTTATCGTTGTGGTTACTAAAGAAAGCCAACAAAGGTATGTTAAGGCAATCCCTTCTTTCTTTTTGGCATGATCCGTACGATACAAATGAAACGAACAATTGCACAACTTTCATAAATAACTCTATTCATAGAAGTATTAGAGATGCCTATATTTTTGATTTCCCATGTGAATTATTATTATATCTTCTGTTCATGGGTCTCAGAAAAATACGTAGTTGATAAAGTTTATCCTAAAGGCATATTGATCTTATCACATTCCAAGAAATCTTATTAACGTACTTCTTATGCATTCATTCATTTATACATGTACATTGACCCATGACTAGATGGCGTTATATACGCGTATATTATATGTATATGGGAAATAAAAAAAGGTTACGATATTATATACGCACCACCGTCTGATCTACTGGTATATGTTGATGATGTTGCCCACAGTGGCCGAGATGATATGATGGAATGCCCTCAGAGGCTTGATGATGTTATGTACGCATATACCTATGCATGGTATGACATTTATATGCATATGCACGATATTATAAATATGAAATGATTCACAGAGCTATTCAGACTTACATGTTGAGTTTTTTACTCCATGTTTCTCTATGTCTTTTATTTACTGATTTTTATTCCTTACATACTCGGTACATTATTTGTATTGACGTCCTTTTTGCCTGGGGACGCTGCGTTTCATATCCGCAGGTCCCGATAGACAGGTTGAGAGTCCTCCAAGTAGGCTATCAGCTCATTGGAAGGTGTTGGTGCGCTCCATTTACTCCGGAGTTGCTTATTTGGTCAGTATAATTTGGTCATGTATTGATTAATATGGCGGGGCCCTGTCCCGACCTTTATGGTGTTTATCTACTCTTAGAGGCTTATAGACATATGTTATGTACGTGAAAGATTGTATGGCCTTGTCGGCCTATGTTCAGTGTACGAGTGATCATTTTGGCCTTATAGGCCTGTATGTCATATGTATAAGTTTGGATTACATGTTGAGTAGTCCAATGTCGAGTATTTCCTCATGTTTTATTCTAGTTATCTCACGACAGCCTCTCCGGCTCATTTACCTATGATAGTATGATACGAAAGATACGTTACGTTGGTACTCGGTTGAGAAAGGTACCGGGTGCCCGTTACAGCCCATCGGTTTGGGTCGGGACAAAAGTGGTATCAGAGCAGTTCTGTCCTAGGGAATCTACAAGCCGTATCTAGTAGAGTCTTGTTTATGGGTGTCGCACCCCTCTTTCTCGCGAAATCGGGTTTCGACATATGACAACTCTTTTAAAGGAAGGTAATTAAAAGAGAGAGTCGCCACCTAACGGATTAAGGTGCGTTAGGGCACCTATTTGCAAATGACTCGGGTTTATTAGTTTGCATCACCAAAGATCGGGTAAGGGCTCAAATTACCTCGAGGAGAAGGTGTTAGACACTCTTCGAGGTCCACAACGGTGGGTCCCGGCCTAACTCTAATTATGTGAATTAGTCTAAGAGAAAAGAAACAGTTTGGACAAATAAAGAAATATTTTAACAG